GGTAGAAAGTGAGCAGAGATCATGGTAAATGTCAGAGGTGGTAAAAAAAAAACAAAGGGAAATCAAAAATCAGAGAAGCGATCAAGGCAGATAGTGGACACAACCCATAATCTAGAAGCTATATAAAGTTGTATACACTGAGTTTGGGAAATAAGAGATTATGAACAGACTACCAAATACATCTTGATTTATAACCAGGCTATCGGATTAGAGTAACTGCAGGAGCAAATGTTCAGACAGAGTGAAAAGTACATTTTACTCAGGCAGCTATGGAGTAGATATTTTCTTTCCTGTCCTGTCATATGTATAGCTAGAACTATATGTCCAAGAAAATTTTGTACATCCTTGCAGAGTTCAGGCTGTCATATAAGATTGTTCTGTGAGCCCTGATTTCCTTTCGATTTGAAGAATATGAGTTTGCTGCTTGAGATTCTTTATTTTTTAATCGGCAAGTTTGTGAGGTTTTGGCATGGTTTACAAACAAGAAAATATCCTGCATGTGTATCTTTAATTATTATGACTGCTGACTGAACACATCAATCAATACCTTCAAACTAAGATATGCTTTTAAAAGATATATCTTAAAGCAATATACTACTTTTAGTTGAACTGAGCAACATTTTGGTAGTTCTGTTTTTCTGATGGAAGACAATAAGCCCCTTTTCCAAATCAGTCTTAATGCATCACACAAAAAAGTCTTAAATATATTACTGAAACAGGTGTAAAATGCCTCTTTTATTCAATGCATTAATATATGACATTTATTACAAAAATATAATAATACTTGCAAGAAGTCATGATTCTTTTGAAAAAGTTGCAAACCAAGTTCTTGAGAATTTAGCAAGTTCCACTTTACCATCATTTTAATAGTGTAATTTTCATGAAACTGTGCATATACACACACACACACATATATATATATATATATATATATATATGTGTGTGTGTATAAATATATATATGTGTGTGTGTGTGTGTATATATATATATATATATATATATATATATATACATAGATAAATATGTATGATGTATGTGTGTGTGTATGTATATATATATATATATATATATATATATATATATATACTATTTCCTGTAATGTGATTGAAAGTATTACAAGAAATAAAATATCTATTTTTATGATTTGGATAATTATTTGTTATCACAAATTTTATATATAATAAAAGCTTCTCATATTTGTGTTTTTTTTTTTTTGTCTATTAAGTATACAATTGAAAGCATTTTGTTATATCTGATTGAAAAATGCAAAAGTACCTGTTTATCTTCTTAGGCCTCATGCCCACCATGGTCTTCTAAAAGCTTTTCTCCTGAATAGAATTAAAGAAGATTCGAAAATATGCCGAAAGCTGCATTTTTTAAATGTATATAAGCTTGTTTAGACAAGTTCAGGCATGTCAAGTGTTTGGGAGTTCATTAATTTAATTGGCCACTAATTTAGTCTGACCATTAATATGAATGAATGCTCACATGCTAAATGCACCTAGCCAGGACTGGGACAAGGGTGGGTGGGCAGGAGGGTGACTGGCTTGGACACTGTGGTATCATGTCAGGTAGGGGTCACCACAAGGAGACTGCAGAGAGGTGATTTGTGAGGAGGAATTTGGAGGGCGGCAGGGGGTAAGAATTGTTCTAGGAAGGGATATTTGGGGAGATGTACTAGGTGTTGTGATTTTTTGGGGATTTGTGTTGGGAGGCAATATGAGGAAGAGGATTTGTGCTAGGAGGGGGATTTGGGAGGATTTGTTCTAGAAAAGGTAATGGTATTGGGGGGAGGGGATTTGTGCTAGGTAGTGAATGTTTTTTGAGGGTGTTGTGATAGTAGGGATGTTTGGGGGGTATTGTGCTAGGAGAGGGATTTTTTTATGTAGGATTTGTGCTAGGCTGGGGGATTTGGAGAGGGGAATTTGTAGTTGGAGTGGGAGGAGAGGATTGTGCTTGGAGGGGAAATTTGAAGGACAGCAGATTTGAGCTAGGAGGGGGCTTTTTATTCAAAGGGGGTGTTTGAGATTGGGGCATAAGGATAGAGAGAGGATTTAAGCTGGGGAGGGATGGGGGCAAAGATTTGTACTGGGAGGAGGGATTTCAGCAGGGGGGCAGATATGTACTGTGAGGGAGGGGGATTATACTTAGGGGGTAAGCATGCAGTGTTTGAATTCTTTTTGAGGAAAGGGGATATTTTCTGGCACATAATGCTCATCTTGGGGGGGGGGGGGGGGTGCAACTTGGCATGTTCGCTCATGTTCAAATCTAGCAGACCTTGTCCAGGCACTGCACCTAACGTTTAGACAAGTTTACACATATTGGGCATTTTTTATTGCCCAAAGCTCCACTTCTGAATGTGATTTTGGTACATTCAGATTTTTGCCACTAAAAGCCCCTGCTTTTAAATGTATGTAAACGACTACGTGTGCATGGACACATAGGCTAACATAAAGGGGAGTTTAGTGGGAGAAAAAAAAGTCAAATGCCTGTAAAACAGGTTTTTGACAGCTGCAGTGCATGAGGCCTTAAAAAAATCTTGAATAAATAGAACTCCCATGCAAAGAGTGGTCTAGATGGATATTTGGGCAGCTGATAGCATTAGACACTACTTGATTAGTGTAATATGTAAAGAAACTCAGATAGTGCTGCACTGCCAATCCTCCTCACAAATAATAAGTGGCTGCTCCTGATGACATCACAATGATGAAATGAATTGGGCGTAGCTAATTGTGTCACTTCCAGTTTGCTGTATTCTGACTGTGGAACACAACAGGGTCCTGGAACACAGTACTTCTCAAAGCACCATTACCAAATGTTATCTGTAAGTGCAATGTCTTTGATTTCTTATGTAAATAAATGGTATAATGCTATGCAAGCGTCCCTTTGATCATTTAATCACATCACCTGAGTGGAGGAGCAGAGAGTGAATCACCCATAACTGCAAGGTGACCATTGGAATGATGGTGGAAGGCTGAGGAGTGGAATATTTCTCACCCAAAGCGCTTTTGACCTGCTTTATATAAGAGCTCAATCCATTGCGGTGAGTATGGTTTTGGAGGGGGAGCACAAATGTCTTCACACCTCAATGTTAGGAAGTTTGTAGTCACGTATATATCACCAATTCACCAGAATTGTCACAATGGATATGGAAGGAGTTTTGTAGTCCTGGAAAATTATTCAACTGTTTATGGGGATTGGACTGTATGAAAGTGATTGGACATTGATCTACTAGTACACTTTATTTACAGTAATAATATTGGAGTCACATAAGGATTATTCCATATCAATTTATGTGTTTGGAAACACAGACACTTGATGATGCACCTATTAACACATGGAGGGGGGAGTATTGTAGCACACCGTTGTTTATTCATTTATTTTGGCACCTATTTTAATTTTTTCTTTTTCTTTTTTTACTTATTATTTGTGAGGAGGATTGGCAGTGCAGCATTATCTGATTTTCCTTAGAAATCTTGTTAGCTGAAAACTTCCCACACTTTCTGACTGTGCTGCATTGTTACTGTTTGCAGGATTACATTTATTTATATATTTATTTAAGGTACTTACAGTATATATCACCATCAATTTACACAGTGCTTTACATATTTATTGTACATTCACATCAGTCCATAGCCATCAAGGGGTGTACAATCTAAGGTCCCTAACTCGCATTCATACATACACATACTAGGGCCTATTTAGACAGGATCCAATTAACCTACCAGCATGTCTTTGGAGTGTAGGAGGAAACTGGAGTACCCAGAAGAAACCCTCGCAGGCACAGAGAGAACATGCAAACTCCAAGCAGGTGGTGCCGTGGTTGGGATTCAAACCCATGACCCTAGTACTGCCAGGCAGAAGTGCTAACCATTTACACTGTACATGACGCTGCCTCTTTATGTTATGTGCAAGAGGACAGGGGGATTTCCCAATAATTCAAAAAGTAAATCCAGCATCTCTATGGCGCCTAAAAATAGCTTTATTGACACTGCAACATGTTTCAAACATCGAGTTTTTCCATCAATTCACTGTAGTCTTGTTTTGTTTCTTTTGCCCTGGTACAGTTGGATGGGTGTGTGCTTCATTCTAGGAAAAGAAGAGTGTTGCTGGCAGAATCACCAGGAGAAAAGTTCTATTCCAAGTCAGTAACATTCTAGATACTTAAACCAGGATAAAAATGAGCATTAACATGCTTAAAGTAAAAACAAAAGTAGTCAGTAAAGAAAACTCCCATAGCTCAGTCCCCTCAGCTTGACTTCAAAAGAAAACAGAAGTTTCCATGCTTTAACCACTTCCAGACCGGACACTTTTACCCCCTTTCTGACCAGGGCAATTTTCAGCTTTCAGTGCTATCACACTTTGAATGACAATTGCGCGGTCATGGAACACTGTACCCAAATGAATTTTTTACCATTTTTTTGAGACAGATAAAGCTTTATTTTGGTTGTATTTATTCACCACTGGGATTTTTATTTTTTTTGCTATGTAAATGAAAATGTCCAAAAATTTTGAAAAAACTTGTTTTTTTATAACATTTTGCAAATAAATAATATTTCATCATAAATATTGGCCAAAATTTATTCCATTATCTTTTTAGTAAAAAAAAAATCCAAATTAGTTTATAACCAAAAATTATAATTTTTAAACTTTTTTTTTACATTTTTATTTTATTTTTTTTTTATTATTATTATTATTATTATTTTTTTTTTTTACATACTGTCACCCTAGCAGTACAGTTTCACCATGGTGACACTGTACTACTTGTGGGGGGTGATGAAGATTTTTTTTTAATTTACACTGATTGCTTTTACACCCATATAGGATGTAAAAGCAATCATTTCTCTTTCTCTCTGTCTGCATTCCTGCACTCATTGAGAAGTACTGAGTGAGCTGTGATTGGTCACAGCTTGTCACATGGTACAAGGCTGTTGTGAATAGCCTTGTACCATGTGACCTCTGTAATCATTCACAGATTTCACACATAGTAAGCAATGATGTCAGAAGTGACATCTTGCTTACTACATTGCATGTGATCACTGATTGGCCAATCAGTGATCACATGATCGGGACCTCGTACAGAGGTCCCGTCCGACGATCGGTGTTTCACTGTGTCCGGAGGACACAGCGGGCACCGGATCGCGGTGCTGCGCGCTCCCAGGGAGCACGCACAAGCAGGGTGCGGGGAGGCCGTTTACAAATGGCCACCCGACCCTGCAGTGCCACCGTCCGGCCGTTTATATGCAACGGCCGGTCGGGAAGTGGTTAAAAGTATATGTTAGAAACACTATTCCAGAAAAAGAGTGAACTCTTATTTCAGGGGAATGGGACAATTTGTAAAAAAAAATAATAAAATAGTAATTTTAGGGTCCATTCACACTAGGAACTGTATTTTCCTGTGTGATTCACATGCAGTTCTATACAGTGCAGTTTCATTTTGAATGGACTGAAATTGAGATGCAAGGCACCAAAAGTAGTGCATGTACTACATTTAGAAACAGACAACTGGATTGCATGCAATGCACTGCATTTGTGACCTACAGTTATGGTATCATTAACTTTGTACTGACAGCCACTGAAGATCACAAAAGCAGAGTGATTGGAATGCAGTGCAGGAAACAGACACAGAATGTTAGCCGACAACACAGCATTCTAACTTCAATGGGCCCTTAAACACCCATGACCTTAAAGCACAACACTGGGGTCACCTACCCTCCCAATTCATTTGAGTGCACAGGAAGTAGATTGCATAAGCTGTCATTGCAGGCCTAGTTCAGTATAAACATTGTTCAATTTAAATGTATCCTACCTACAGCCTACACTGTAACTGAAGACAACAAGGGAGAACAGTATAATTTACATCAGTTTCATATACCTGTTTTATTGAAGGAGGTTAATTTAGTAAAAATAATTCTGCTAAGTAAAGCAAATATTCACTTAGCAAAGTGGATGTTTAACGTAGACTTTGAGTGCCTAAACATATGCAGTAGGGTATCCACTTTCCCTCCAGAGGATTTACCCCCCCCCCCCCCCTCCCTTCCTGACCAGGCCATTTTTTGTGATACGGCGCTGAGTTACTTTAACTGACAATTGCACCCAAATGAATTCCCACAAACAGAGATTTCTTTAGGTGATATTTGATTGCCTGTGCATTTTTTTTTTTTTTTGCGCTATAAACAACAACAATTTTGAGAAAAAACAATATTTTGGACTTTTCCCTATTAAACATGTCCAGTAAAAAATATAAAAAATCATATTTCGGCATACATTTAGGACAAAATGTATTCTGCTACATGTGTTTGCTAAAAAAAAAATACCAATACGTGTAAATTTATTGGTTGATGTGAAAGTTATACATTTACAAATGGCAGTATAGATACTGGAATTATTTTTTTTGTTACTAGTAATGGTGGCAATCAGCGACTTATAGCAGGACTGTGGGACTGCAGAGGACATTCTGACACTGGGGGGAAACTGATTTGGTGTCGAGTAATCACCTGCCGGGACCCAGTGATTGACAGCCGAGACAGCGAATGGCAGCATGGGTAGGAGCTGCAAAATTATGTATATATATACGTGATTTTGCGCACCTATGCCGCCCTGTAGCAGTATATCTGCTATATCTGTGGAACAATTTAAAAAAAGACAAAGGCTTGGCCTTATACAGGATTGGCTAGTTGAATTGAACAAATTCACTTAACCGCTAAGTAAACATGCTGTGATCCATATTTATTTATTTATTTCAGGTACTTATATAGCGCAGTCAATTTACGCAGCACTTTACATATATATTGTACTTTCACATCAGTCCCTAACCCTCAAGGGGCATGCAATCTAAGGTCCCTAACTCACATTCATATATATACATACTAGGGCCAATTTAGACAGGATCCAATTCACCTACCAGCATGTCTTTGGAGTGTGGGAGGAAACCAGAGTACCCGGAGGAACCATATGTGAATCAACACATTGCTTTTACTGGCATGAGCCATGAGTATGTAATTCTAAGCTGCGTAATCACTTACGGTGCCTGCATACATTTTAGCTACAATGCAGAGCATTTGTGGCCAAGAATGAGAACAAAGAAAGCATCAGTAAGTATTTTAAATGTGCATTCCACAAATGTCCTGCTGTCTAAACTCACGTGAAGTGGAAGGATGGATAAGGCTTTTAGGAACAAGTAAGCAAAGATTTAAAAACTGATTTGTAAATACTAAAAAGAACATTCATACATATGTTTACAAACATACCAACACACATACATAAATACATACAGTATATAAAAAAAAAAAATTAAAAGAAAGAAATCAGTATTGCTTACCATTTGTACATAAATGTCTCTCTTTAATATCCTAGCATTTTCCTGTATATTGTCTTATTAAATCTACTGATACATTACAGTATTCTGCCAACATGCAATAATAAAACAATAAAAAGATTTAAATATTTTAAAGTTCCTATTAATACTTATGTTTTCTCCAAATAGGTGACCTAAATTCTGACGATATGAGCTGTAAAGGATTAATGCTTCACTGTAAATGCACAAAATATAATAATCAGCATGTTTAGAAAGCACATTCAGCAGCTCATAGTTCAAATGTTTAAATTTTACAATGCAAGTAAACTTTTAGGGAATAAATGTACACCACAAGTCAGCACATTCAACAATAAGCACAAAACAGCTGTGAATTGTGTGCATCTGGAACAAAACCAGCCTGCCTGTTTGCATCTAATCCACTCAAATCACCTTTGTTAAATGCATAACAACACAAATAACACCCATAGTTCCATTAGTCCTTAAGAGGTTGTTTATTGAAGTTGTTTATTTTTTTTAACAAAATGAAGTAAAATAAAACACATAAACAAACAGTAGGAGCAGTCTATTCAAGCTGGATGCCACAGGAGTTTCAGTTCTACAAAATTATCCATTGTAGCTGCAATAAGGATTGCATGCATTTTAACTGATTTAGAATTACCATTAAAGGGTCCTCCATGACTTTCTTTCATCTGGTTTAATTAAGCAAGAAGTCTGCTAAATAGCACATGCTTTCAAAGTGGTCACATAATGAATTTAAAAGCAAATTAAAAAAAAAAATCAACTTCCTTTCTGAGGAAAAAGGAGAACTAATAGTTGGTGATGTTCTACATGTATGTTTTTTTTTTTTTCTCTATATTTGACATTTTTTATTTTTCTTATGCTTGGTGTCTACTTTATATTACTATTATACAGGATTTTATATTTTATATTCAGATAATCAGTTTATTCAGATAATCAGTTTAAGATGCCATCATTTAGATAAGGTTATCTGGAAGAAATGTTTAGAGATGTGCACAATGAAAAAATGTGTTTAATTTCAGATTCATTCGTTAAGTAAATCATTTTGTTTTGTCATATTAGTTATGTTAAAATGATTCATTTTTGGAATTTGTTTTGTATATTCAAGTTCAGATTAGTTTTGTATATTCCTTATTTCTAAATTGATTCTTTTTTTGGTAGTTATTTCAGATTAATTTGCTATGTGGTTGTTATTTTGGTGACTTGCTTGCAACATCTATGCAGCTTTCTTGCAACTTCCATGAAACTTGCTTGTGACTTTGGCTAATCATAACACCAGAATGTAAAGAAAAAAGACATTGAAAAAACACAGCATATGGGTCCCCCACTAATCCATACCAGGCCCTTCGGGTCTAGAATGGATTTTAAGGGGGACCCCATGCCAAAAAAAGCATGTGCCCCCCACGGATTCTTACCAGGCCCTTATCCAAATAAATAAAAACACTAACACAGTTTTTGACAAGTCTTTTATTAAAAAAATTTAAATAAATACATCCACCATGTATATCCAGTGTCAATCACAATGAATTAACACTGAAACCCCCCATGAAAAAAAAATCCTACCACCTGCCAAACATGACTTTTCGAATGACAGTCACTTCTCCCCCATTGCTAAGCAAATATCGGGGCGGGGTGACATCACTCAGAGACCCCCTATGATGTCATGGCTGGGGGTCTCTGAGTGATGTCACCCATCCTCATGTTTTAAAAAAGGGATAAGGATACCTCTCATATTACTTGTTACCCACATGGTCCATGCATCTGACTGTCGTCCATCTTTTTGGATTCTGTTAATCAGCTTTTCTGGATATCATTATGTAAGTGTGCTACTTGTTCTTTAGCAACCTTTTGAATAAAAATTACTACACTATCAAGATTTCTCTCTTTTGGGTCTTATTGCTGAAAGGTGATCTCCTGCCTGATAACGAAACACACCACCCCTGGCGAAAGATGATATAAGGCAAATTCGTGTAACTGTAAGGTGGCGTACCCCCCCCTGGTGGTAGGAGACTGCAGATTGATGCAAAGTTGTTCCTGAGGTCCCTTCGCATGTTTCTTTGGGCTGTGACCCGGGAGTAGTCATTATACTCCAATGCGCTTTTTCCTGCGCTATCTGGTTAGGCGTTTTGCAGCTATTCTCCTATCACGGAAGTCACGAATTTGATTGATACAACGGATGCACTTCTAATGATAACATCCCACTATATGACTTTGTTTTTGGTCGGATGAATCATTCACTTACCCGTCCATTGTTTGCATTAATTTGTGCGTTTTACCAGTTGGTGCATGTTATACCTTTAATGTATTTAAATCGGATGTGCATACGCTAAATTTTCTTCTCACTACATGCTCAAGCGCTGCATTTCTTGTTTTTATTTGTCTATGAGGAGGTTATACGAGGTTTACCTTCATGCTAGCAGCTTGAATCTTTGAGACCAAGCGCTCGTCTTTTATCCCATTTTACTGCATCCTCATGTTTACTTAGCAATAGGGAGACTTGGCTGTCATTTGATGAGTGTTTCTCAGCGGCACCAGTCAAGTTTGGCAGGTGGTAGGATTTTTTTTTTCATGTGGGTTTTCAGTGTTAATTCATCGTGATTGACACTGGCGGGATTTTTTTTGTGCAGGTCAGCGTTCATTGTTATTGATGCAGGATTTACATCAAAAAACATTTAATTTTTTAATAAAGGACTTGTCAAAAACTGTGTTAGTGTTTTTATTTATATCTGATTTTTTTTTGTGAATGAGTAGGGATACTCATCAACATGGGGACAATATGCTTTGGTGGGGAGCCTCCTCCCTCATAGCAACACCCCCATGTTGAGGGCATGTGGCCTGCTATAATTCAGGAGGGGAGCACTCGCTCTCCCCCTCTTTCCCGACCTGCCAGGCTACCTGCTCAGATAACGGTCTGATACGGATTTTGGGGTGGACCCCACACCCTTTTTTTTTTTTTTAGTTTTGGTGTGGGATTCCCTGTAAAATCCATAATAGACCCAAAGGGCCTGGTATGGATTGGGAGGACCCCCACACAACATTCTGCTGTCAGCGGAGAGTCATGGTTGTTAAGCACAAAGTGGTCAGCCAACGATGTTAACAATGAGCTATTCACAAATCAGTAGAATAATGTGTTATTTAAGATGCTTCCAAATGAAACAAATGAATTTAGTAGTTTTGTTATAATTTATTTCATATTCATTGAAATGTGTTACTGTTGTTATGTGGATATGAATCACATGTCTAGATATCTTAACTATCTCTATGTTGTTAGTGATTTCTGGTTGCCCTTGGTGATTACAGTGCTCCTGGAGTGTGTGACATTAGGCCCCCACCACCTGCCTCATGAAACCTATGAAATATAATCTGTTCTATGTATTTTGAAGGACCCTGGAAAGGAGGTACAGCTTATATTGGAGGATTTCCTATATTATTTATTATCACCTACTTCAGTAGTATTTGTAAAGGTTTATTTGTAAAGGTTTATCACCATCACATGCTGTCATGGTGCAATTTTGTGCCGTTTGGCAGATGACTCTACCTAAACATCATATCTTAGGGCAGAAATATAAATGACGTATGAATGAAAATTAATAACTAAATGTAAATTATTAATTCAAGATCTAACTAGACTAAAAAAACATGTTTTATAGAGAGTTCTCTAAGGACCCATGGTTTATGTACCATTTGATCCCCTGCAGTCCTATGGGGATCTGGTTATGCTCAGACAGGGTGTCACATACAAATTATATGTGATCTTTCCCATTTCTGTCTAAAGCAGCAGAGTTTTTGGTTGTTTGCTGCATGTTGGTTAATATTTGCTGGTAGCCATATTGGCTGCTAGTCATTTGGAGGATTGTGGAAGGTT